AGCGTCCCCTGGAGGCCGTGGTAGACCCCTACAGACTGGAGTTACTACCAGACAAACTGAGATGACCATATTGGTCAAAGATTACTGGAAGTGAATTCTTCTGAATTCGGAAATGTTATGAATCTTCTGTTTGTGAAGAAGGTTAATTTTTGTTGGTTTTCTTTATGCAAGATGACATTTCCTGATGAAACAACTATATATTTCAATTTAAGAAAGAGAACATCTTGGCATGCATGTTGCATGAACCAAATCTGATTGCATCTGCAATTATTGACCACCTAACTGTACTTCATGTAACGGCTGAGTAGTTTAATAATGCATTTTGTATCTTTTAATTGTTATTGATCATCGTGATCAACACACTTGAACTGTAATTATATTGACATATTATCATAGTTGACTACCAATCTGTTAAAAGATCAAAATGTTTTTTGTTTTTTTTTTAAAACAAGGTTTGCTTAATGTCACAGTTTTCCTGTGATGCTGTAATATCTAATTTCATCTTATGTGTTGGTACTATGAAGATAAAGCTAATATTTCCCATCTTGGTTTAAATTATTTTTGAATAGCTAAAAAATATGAATTGCCCTTTTTATGGGGATTTTGTTGTAATGGACTTTCCCTCACTTTCTGGGAATATTGAAAAATGATCTGTTTTAAGATCGTTATGTTTCTCGTTGTACTGTGTAAGATGTGGTAAATGTAACAGTGTCACAGTTTTTCAGTGACAATGTCAATTACAAAAATTCGAATTATTATTGATTATGTGAACTGTTGTAAGGATGTTTTTTAAGACCGTAAGGTCGGTGAAAACGTTTTAATTCATTTAGGGGGAAAATCCCAAAGGAAATGAGTACTGTGTCCTCAAATATTGTTAATCATTTGTCTTTTGTAAAGACAGTTGTTCCTCTACTCTGTGTGAGTACAGTGTCTTGTGGAAATCTACAAGTTGTTGTTGTGATTTATCATCACCTCTAGTTGGAGCTTTTATGCTCATTGTGCATTGTTGAACAAACAAACACTGCCAGCTGAAAACCTTGCTCTTTTGAGTTATTTTTCACCCTACTTGCCCTTGTTACAATAGGCGCTTTCACACCAAGTACTTTGCCGTACTTAGTTCCCAGAACTTAGTTCATCGGAACTCTTTAGTTTGCGTTCACACCGGAATAAGTCCCTGAGGGAGGATTAGGCAAATGAAGCCGCTGACGTCACTTCTTCTTCTTCTGCTTTGGGTTTACTGACAGGCCGCAAACAACTTCACGGCGTATACTGCCACCCGAAGTCCCCGGCCGGAAGTCCCCGGAGTTGGGGACTGGCTTCAGAGTAAATCGCCAGAACGCCGACACCTCCTCATCTCTACCACTCCCATGTTTTTTTTTGTGTGGCCATAAGTTAGTGTCTCTCCGTTGGTGCGCTGGGCTAATGCTAATGCTAATAATGCTAATGCCTAGGCCTGTCACGATAATTAATTTTGTTGGACGATACATTTTCCTGGAAATTATTGCGATAAACGATAATATTGTCGGCACCGTTGTAAGACCATTTTAGACCACTGACATAATGATAATATATAATAATAATTCAAGGACATCCTTTCAAACATAACTTTTTATTGAACATTCAACATTGCAAATGAAATGTGAAATAATATTAAAATATATAAATGATATATAATAAATAAAACAAATTAATTAAATTATAATAAATTAATTAAATCACACACAACCAAAACAATAAATTAAATAGACTTATATATATATATATGTGTGTGTGTGTGTGTGTGTGTGTGTGTGTGTGTGTGTGTGTGTGTGTGTGTGTGTGTGTGTGTGTGTGTGTGTGTGTGTGTGTGTGTGGGTGTGTGTGTGTGTCTGTGTGTGTGTGTGTGTGTGTGTGTGTGTGTATGTGTGTGTGTGTGTGTGTGTGTGTGTGTATATATATATATGAGCACACATTGTCTCACAAGCAAAAAAAAACCTCCTTAAAACAACAGTCAAGTGTACTGTCCATACAAAGACCCAGATGCCTCAACAGGCCATATCCAAATCTGTTTTTCAAAGTTTTCGAGCAAGGAACACCAACATGTTTGCATTGTCGGGAAAATGCATCTTTGATTGTAAACTGTCGGGAAGGTGGGGGCTCTCCATCTCCAGCTGCCGTGTTTGCTACCAGCTGGGAAAACGGAATGGGGTGGTTGTGTTTTAGGTGTAGTTTAAAATGCGTGGTATTGCCTGCTTTTGTCGCTACTTTTTTTAAACAAATGCGACACACCGCTGCGACACACCGCCCGGCTCATTCAAGTCCGTATAGGTTCGCCTCGTTGATTTGGCTTGAATCCAAAATACTGCCACGCCGGAGAATCGAGATGTGTAGTTAGGTTTTGTAACCAATTCCATTTCACTTTAAATTCCCTGCGAGTAAGTCACACGTTGTCTCCCGCTTGTCGCTATATTAATTTGGCTGCAGCGCTGCTGCACATGCATGCGGAGTGTCCTGACCTGGCTGTGTGTCAGCCCCGCCCCTCACAGCGCGCGTGGCCGGCAGCCACAGCGCGCCTGGCAGCCACAGCGCTCCTGGCAGCCACAGCGCTCCTGGCAGCCACAGCGCTCCTGGCAGCCACAGCGCTCCTGGCTAAAATGCTGGTCACATCCTTATGTAAACGGCAATTTATCGAGCTCAGAAAAGTTATCGAGTCCATTTTTATTTATCGTACGATAAGTCAATTTATCGATTATCGCGACAGGCCTACTAATGCCAGCAAACGACAATGGCGGCTTCACAAAACTTTTCCGAGTTTTACAGGGCGTGGTTTGCAATTCGCCCAGCCAATCAGAAATTGTTACCTTTTTCTCCCCAGGAAAGTCCCTGCTCTCTAGCAGGGACTAAAAAGGGGTGAAAAGGTTAGCAAAAAACACAAAATCCCAGGAACTATCGGAACTATTCCTGGGAAAAGTACTCCAGTGTGAAAGCGCCTCCTAATGAAAACTTGAGTATAAATTAGTCAAAAGAGTTCTCTATAACCATCCCACCATTGTAAAGGGAAGCATTGTCTAACCTTAAAGCACAATCCATCAATCATATAACCATTTTTCAATAGATGTCGATAGGGTTGGTTACTGTTCCCAAATTTTGTAATAACAATATAACATAACAATAACTTCATTTAGAGTTGCCTGTTGAGCTAAGCTGCATGTCTTTAAGCTTTGGGAGGAAGACAGAGCACTTTGAGAAAACTCACACAGGTACAGGGAGGACAAACAAACTCACCCCATAATAGACCCTGCAGGTTCAAACCTGGAATCCTCTTGCTATATACCACAGTGCTAACTACTGCACCATCATGATGTGGCTTAATTTGATGTACCAATTTACTGTAAATCTATATGCACTACATTTTAAAGTGGTTTTATCCAGATTTGTATGATGTTAAGTCATGTATTTGCATTAAGTCAAGTGATCAAATCAAGTGATAAATGAAATTACAGAACATTATTGAGGGGCAAAACTTGGTATACCTGTGGAGTTTGGTTGTCTTAGTTTAAATAAATAAATTCCCACTTTAAAAAGGTCAGATATTGCATCTAATGTGATGCATAATGAGGCACACTTCTTTTGTTCCTCCAGTGAAAGGACAGAGTGTGGGAAACCAGAGGAACCTCACTCACAGAGCCCTGTGGGACAAAAGATCCAGACCTTTGCCCTGAAGGCACAGATTAAAGACAAACTGGATTCCAGAAATGCTAAATTCCTAATCATTTTTTAAATCACAGATTACATTTTTTTAAAGGTTTCTTACAATATTAAAAATTGGCAACTTTCTGCTATTTAGGTTTGCAAAAATAGATTGTTTTGAGGAATTTAAGACAATTATTTGTCTTGTCTCAGGATTACAATCTTGTGATACTTTGCGACGGATTAAAAGTCACTAGAAAAAAGAACACGTTTAAGTTTTGATACCACAAAAGTATCAAATATTAGCTGTTGACCTCAGTGTTTTTTTTGTTATGTTACCAACACAGGATTTTCACATTTTAAATGACATCCAGTATGAGATTTACAATTTAGCCATTTTTTAGATCATATATATTTGAACAAATTATTGTATTTGAGTTGTAGAATCTAAAGAAAAATAAATAAAGTTAAAATGGAACAATTTAATAATCAAATGGTTGATCAAAATGTCTATTTAGACTTACAGCTTAAGTTATTTTAATAGACAGAGTGTGGGAAAACACTGGAAAGCAGAGTGCAGCATGATTATCATCCTAAACCCCGCGAGCAGCAGATTATTCTCTTGAGAGGTTTGGCACACTTCAGGAAACAGCTGATTTAACCTTCTAGCCTCGTCTACAGAGCTGACATTTTGATCCGGCTCATGATGAAAAAAAAAGTATTTTGCGGAAAATGTTATAAAAAAAGAATTTGGTAAAGCCATCCAATGGTGTGGTTTCCCTCCAGATGGTGGGTGACGTCCGGCTCTGTTTCTACCACCACACACGTCCAGTATCAGTCACAAAGGCTCCATTCAAAGTCCTTTTGTTGTTCACTGACCACAGCATTCAGAGTCAGTGTGAGAAACTGAGACCAACTTTCTACCCACACAAGTCAAGAGAGTGTTTTTTCTGAATACTTATTGTAGTTAAATGTAAGTTACACAGTACTTTAAATCCAGCAATTCAATGTCTGTATCAAACGTGTGTGATGAGATGATGAGCGTGTGCTCAGTCAAAGTCATTGATCCCAGCATCAGGCAGCAGATCTGCTCTCTACAGGGTCACCACTTTCCCAGATTCACAAAGCTCTGTCACTCTCTCCATCACCCCCCCAATCCCCCACCTGTTCCCCTGGGATCTAAACATTGTCCCTTGGGGCAATAAGAGCATTAAGTGTGCTGCACCCATTATTGTCCCAGCTTGCTCTCTGATTGGCTGAGACTGTGAGAAAGTGCAGTGTGACCCAGACCCACACATTCATATGGAGATGTGGGACTATAAATAGGAGGGATGAAGCCAGCAGAGATCAGATTCTCTCGACAGAGACCTCTACAGCACAGAGATCCAGACATGGCACCTACAATCACTGCAGCAATGACCAACTCTCAGGAGCCTCACACTCTGACCCACAAGGTAAATTCAAGATTCAAGAAGATTTCAATATTGTTCTTCAATCGTTGTTCTCGTTTATTCCAAAACTAAACTCCAGAATAAGATTATTAATGACTTCCCTTTTCTTTCTGCAGCTCAGAAAGCCTCTGGTGGAGAAGTTACGCAGAGAGCGAATCAACAGCAGCATTGAGCAGATCAAGTCTCTCCTGGGTCCAGAGTTCCTCAAACAGCAGCCAGACTCCAAGCTGGAGAAAGCAGACATCCTGGAGATGACAGTTTGTGTCCTGAGACGACTGCAGCAGCAGAATCAAGCTGTGGACTCAGCAGCTGTCAACCAGGGCTACTCCAGGTGTGTCCAAGAGGTGACACACTTCCTGTCCAAAGAGCAGGGGAAGACTCAGTCCCAGAGAAGACTGCTGAACCACGTCAACAAGATGCAGTGTTCCTCTGATAAGAACCTGAGAGAGGCTGACTTCTCTCTGCTGAGCTCCACAGTTCAGACCAGCATCAACAAAGAGAAGAGTCCAGTCAACAGCGCCCCCTGGAGGCCGTGGTAGACCCCTACAGACTGGAGTTACTACCAGACAAACTGAGATGACCATATTGGTCAAAAGTTACTGGAAGTGAATTCTTCTGAATTCTGAAATACTAAGAACTTTTTCTTTTGTTTGTACAGAGGGTTGGTTTTGTTGGTTTTCCTTATTAAGATTACATTTCCTGAGGAAATCACAGCAACAATGTCTTTCATTTTAAGAAAGAGAACATGTTCTCGTGCATGTTGCATGAACTAAATCTGATTGCATCTGCAATTACTATTATGCATCACTGTACTTAATGTATCGGCCAAATACATTGCTATTGATACATCTGTTTGATTTTATTTGAAATAGTTACTGATTATTTTGATCAAAAACCTTTCCTTAAAGATATGTTTAATATCCTAGTTGTCCTGGTACACTATTCATTGCAAGTTTTGGTATACAGTATATTAGGCAATGGTGATATTTTGTACCTTTTAATTCTTATTGATAATTCGATTGCAAATCTAATCTGTCCTATTTATGGACATTCCCTCACTTTCTGTGATTGTTTAATAATGATCTGTTTTAAGATCAATATGTTCCTCCTTTGAATTACCCTTTTTTTAAAGGCTTTATTAATCTCACACTGCTTCAGTTTTCCAGTGTCTATGTTATTCTTATTAATGTTAATAATGAATTGACTTTTTGGTTATTAATAATGATGTGACCTGTTGTAAGGTTTCTTTTAGCTATTTTTAAGTGTAAATGTTATTAATTCATTTGGAAAAAGTATCTTGAAAGGAAAGTGAGCACTGTGTGCTCAAACATTCTTCATCTTTGGTCTTTTGTAAAGACGGTTCTTCCTCTACTCTGTGTGAGTACAGTGTCTTGTAGAAATCTACAAGTTGTTGTTGTGATGTATCATCACCTCTAAATGAAGCTGTCATTCTTTATGCTGCTCATTGTGCATTGTTGAATAAAAAAACACTGCCAGTTAAAAGTTTTGCGTTGTCTCATGTTCTTCTTTCATCGTACAATAATTAATAGAGGTCCCTCTCCATCATCACTTCTACCTTTAATCGACAAATCATGATACAATTTAGCACAAACAGTTAATTGTTTGTCCATTACAAACCTGTTAAAAAGGTAAAACTACAATATTTGACATAGAGTCATCAATGTTTTGTTAATCTATATGGAATCAGTTAAACCATCACAACACTGTTGATGATGCAACATTCTTTTGGCAACCAATATCTGTTTAGGTGTTTCAATGTGAAAACTTTAAAGTAAACAATTGTTCTCTTTTAAGAGGTCAGATATTGTATCTTAAGGGATGGATAATAAGACATGCTTATTTTGTTTCTCAATTGAAAGGACAGAGTGTGGGAAAACAGAGGAAACTCACTCACAGAGCCCTGTGGGACAATAGATCTAGACCTTTGCCCTGAAGGGACAGAGACTAAAAGACATACTGACTCTTACAATTAAAACCTTGTTTTGTATTACTCCTTTGGTTGTAACTGCCCATCTGATAGTAGAAATCAGCAGTGTTACTACGTTTTTAAACCATTTCAATCTTGGGAGTGTTTCGTTTTTTGAAAAAGTTTCTAAGAAATATATTATGTTGGTTTACCTAAAAAGTTGATTCATTTTACTTAACACTATATCTGTTTTATAATTGGAACCCTAAGATAGTTAACAGTAGACGACTGAAACAAAAAAACAAGCTACAGTAACTGCACACAGTTTATTAATATGCTAAGTAACAGGCTGTTTAAGACAGAACAATCCGGATCAGTGGGCCTTGAATGAAATGTATAGCCAACCAAGAATACAGATAGTGTTACTGAATAACTATTTTATGATTAACAATTAAATAAGTTACCAACATACCTCAGAAAACAAATCCCTTTTCGCCTGCATTTGCAAGAGATATCTGTCTTAAGTAATTAAGTACATTTACTATATTACTGCACACAATTCAATGCACTTTTAGTCGACATACCTTTCCATTTGATATAGCTTTACACTCCTCTCCACTACATCCTAGAGGCAAATATTGTATTTTGTATTACACAACATCCTTCCGATAGCTTTAGTTACTGTTCAGTTTGCAGTTTGTCATACCCTCACTTTCCTAAAAGATCTGAATAATGTTTCCACGTAATAGTTTGGTCATTAATCCAAACCATGGATAGCAACATTTTGAAAGAGCTGCAAAACAGTTGAGGGCAATGTAAAAAGTAAATAATGTAATGTAAAAGCCCAGGACAATTTTGTGGTAAAAAAAAATGAAAAAAAGCCGTTTACAGTTACTCACCAGTGAGAAAGGGACGAACTTCGCATAATATCCTTCAGCCACAGCTGCACCTGTTGGCTCGGTTCCTCTCAAAGGTCACAGTCATGCCGGTTTGGTTCATGAAGTTCAGTGAAGATGTTCGTTAAATCCGTTAACGGTAGGAGCTGTTCTTCTCCCTTTTATATCCGACAGAGTAAAGTTTTAGAGATACTTCTTTTAGTTTGTTAGTCCAAAAACATCTGTATGGTGGTAGGAGTCCAGACAGTCCCGACATACAGCAGCAGATTCAGTCTTCCGGTCATGGATGAGCCGTGCTAACACTAACGACTAACGGATGACTTAGTCCGGTTAGCCGGTGATGGGTACGTTACGTACGGTTCTTTGCTAACTACTTGGCCACCTTTACGTGCTTTCTCCTCTTACATTTAACTTCCTGTCCTGCCAACTACTGATAACAAGTTTGTGTCACAAAAGTAATAAAGACCATCTTATTTATTGTGGTAGTTTTTGACCAGTTAGCCATCTTGATATTTTCCTCAAATCCATTCACGTTAAGCTAATGGTTTTAAAATGCTGTTCAATTTCTTATTTTCGTTTAACTTAAATACATAAGTTATAGTTTAAGATACACTTGCTTTTATTGGTTAGTCAATAAACTACCGTTTTGGTGCTGGGAGTCCCAACCGGTCCCAACAGAGGGCGGAGGAGGCGGGATGGACTAGCCAGGTTCCCGTTACACCTGAGCAATGTTAGCCATTAACAGATGATATGTTAGCTTCGCCTTAGCAGTGGCTTAATTAACATTTTACATCTGACTCTACCTCTTATATTTCCTCGTGTGCTGTACTATAGCCTCCCTTGTACTTTTAGTTAAAAAAAAACTCGTTTCCAACACTACTTCATCTAATATTAATTGTTCACCCATTTTTAGCCTTTCCTAATGTTGGCGCGTGGGACATTCAGAGTCATCAACCGGTGTCCACTTCCTGTCACATTCATAATTCCCTGAATAAACAAAGTGACAAATAAAACGTTTTGCTCTGATGTTCACCCAATAAAGTAACACTAAAATTGGAAGCTTTTAACAATTGCATTAAATAAATGATATGTGTGAAATGTAAATAAAATAATTTCGATTTTAATATATTAATTTTTACCCACTTCAACAATATGGGTAATTATTTTAGCGGGGCCCCACCCTTTTCCATTGGTGGTGCACTGCTTGGGGACAGGATCCTCAAAAGGTCCATTTGTAAAGGGGCACATGCCTATTTTATGCTATAATAGACGGAGTGTGGGAAAAGCTCTGGAGGGCAGAGTTGGGTGTTAATGACATCCATCCATCCCACCAGCAGCCAAGTAATTCTCCAAAGGGATTTGGCACACTTCAGGAAACAGCTGCACCGCCCCCAGGAAACATCCTACACTCTAATAATTTGACAGTATCATAATTATTTTGTTGGTACATGAAATACCTACATTACACGATAAATTGTATTTCTCTATCGTGTGTGTGATGAGATGATGAGCGTGTGCTCAGTCAAAGTCATTGATCCCAGCATCAGGCAGCAGATCTGCTCTCTACAGGGTCACCACTTTCCCAGATTCACACAGAGCTCGGTGAGTCTCTCTCCATCACCCCCCCAGTCCTCCACCTGTTCCCCTGGGATCTAACCATTGTCCCCCGGTCAATAACTGCATGTTGCAGCTCGTCTGCTCCACATCTCTTTGTCTCTCTGAGCTTTCTGATTGGCTGAGACTGTGAGAAAGTGCAGTCAGACCCAGACCCACACATTCATATGGAGATGTGGGACTATAAATAGGAGGGATGAAGCCAGCAGAGATCAGATTCTCTCTACAGAGACCTCTACAGCACAGAGATCCAGACATGGCACCTACAATCACTGCAGCAATGACCAACTCTCAGGAGCCTCACACTCTGACCCACAAGGTAAATTCAAGATTCAACAAGATTTCAATATTGTTCTTCAGATGTTGTCTTTGTTTATGCCAAACCTAAACTCCAGAATAAGATTATTAATGACTTTTTTCTTCTTTCTGCAGCTCAGAAAGCCTCTGGTGGAGAAGTTACGCAGAGAGCGAATCAACAGCAGCATTGAGCAGATCAAGTCTCTCCTGGGTCCAGAGTTCCTCAAACAGCAGCCAGACTCCAAGCTGGAGAAAGCAGACATCCTGGAGATGACAGTTTGTGTCCTGAGACGACTGCAGCAGCAGAATGAAAAGCAGAGAAGACTGCTGAACCACGTCAACAAGATGCAGTGTTCCTCTGATAAGAACCTGAGAGAGGCTGACTTCTCTCTGCTGAGCTCCACAGTCCAGACCAGCATCACCAAAGAGAAGAGTCCAGTCAACAGCGCCTCCTGGAGGCCGTGGTAGACCCCTACAGACTGGAGTTACTACCAGACAAACTGAGATGACCATATTGGTCAAAGGTTACTGGAAGTGAATTCTTCTGAATTCTGAAATGTTAAGAAATTGTTCTTCTGTTTATACAGAAGGTTGTTTTTTGTGTTTTATTAATGAAAGACAGCAACTATATCTTTCAATTTAAGAAAGAGAAGATATTCTCATGCATGTTGCATGAACCAAATCTGATTGCATCTGCAATTATTATTCAACCTCACTGTACTTTATGTGTTGGTAGATTACAGTGCTATGGTTACATATGTAATCTTTTGATTGTTATTGATAATTTTTATCAGAAATGGTAACTGTTCTTTTCATGGATATATTGTCATGTTGGACTTCTGATTTCTAAAAACTGATCTGTTGTTAGATCAAATAGTTTATACTTTTTTCTTAAAGGTTTGCTTAATGTCACACTGTCACCATTTTCCAGTGACTGTCATGTTGTCTTTTTTTAACATTCATGTATTTAGCAGTTAACATTCATCACACTGTGATATTAACATTCTGATCTGTTTTAAGGTCAGTCTCTACTGTTTTGCTTTTATGTATTAAGAGCAAAGAGTTTTTGTTTTAAAATAACAGTTTCTAATGTCTTCAAGTGTGTTTGTCTTTTATAAAAACAGTTTTTCCTCTACTCTGCGTGAGTACAGTGTCTTGTAGAGATCTACAAGTTGTGGTTGTGATGTATCATCACCTCTATTTTGAGCTTTCGTGCTTGTTGTAGCTCCTTGTGCTTTTTGAATAAACATCACTGTTAATTTCAAATTGTGTCTTCCCACGTTGTTTCGTCTTATTGCTCTTTGATAATCTTAGAATAATTTGTTTAATGTTTTCTATGCATCCATTTAAATGTATTTTAATAATTCAGATTAGGGAAGTCACTCTTCACTGTTTGACACTTATGCTGCAATTACATATTGTCCCTATTACAATACATTACCTTATATAAGACCCCCAAACCCATCCCCTTCTTTTACAACATCTGCAAGAGAGATACATAAAACTGTTTTTGACGTCCTTTAAAGTTTTTTGACTCACTTAAACAAACATATAGCACATAGCCTATGAATAACACTTTAATAATACTAATATTTACATAATTTGTATTGAGATATTTAGATAAGATATTGCTTACATGAAAAATGAACTTAATTTTAGCATTTGTAATTCCAATTAACCATCTAAATAATAATGAGAAAGAGTATTAACCAGTTTATCACACACACACACACACACACACACACACACACACACACACACACACACACACACACACACACACACACACACACACACACACTGGGTGTATCATGGGGTGGTGTGTTGGGGTGTGTTGGGTGTTGTTTGACTAATTGATCTCTGCAGCTTACAGCCTTCCTACTAAATACACCCACTGGACCACATGTGATATGTCAGTTACTGTATGTGTAGAGTTGATGGTACATTTAGATGCTACCTGTCACCAATTCAGATTGTACTTCTTTAAAAGTTAATTTTGATTATCCGACAAATATTGATAAAAGACAAAAAGTGATTCACACAAAATGTGAGTCCCCTTTCTGTTGATGAGTGGATTAGGGGACAGTTATATCTGGGTATTTCCTAAGAATTTGAGTGAATAAAACATTTTTATAATATCACAACACAAATCACACTTCACAAACAACTAAATACAAAATACAAACAAGCAAAATGTGTGTGTATACACATGTATACACAAATTGATGCTTTATTTTTAGGTACATGCTACACCTGGTAGGTGCAATCATCCTAACGTACTGTACATAATAGCTGTATGTTATGCTATGTTATTTCCATTTTTGTCTTGTTTTTTCTATCCTGTTACATTTCTATTTTTCCCTTAAAAATGCATTTTCCTTTTCTTTTTTTACTCATGAACTGCTGTAACAATTGATTGATCAGGCTATAACGTTTTTATCTTGTCTTATCTTTTGGTGATAATAAAGAAATAAGATGGGTTTTTAAACAGGTATAAATGGAGGGGGGAAATCTATTTGTGAATGGCCAACCATTCCACAATTATGGGCCACAAACTGAGAGGGTTGTGTGTTTTTTTTTCTTTCCTGAAATAAAGCTTTATTAAATGCTGTTTGTGTTCATTATTCTAGCACACTAAAACAACTGCAAGCTGTAATTATGTGTAGGTGGGTTTACCTTCCTGCTTATCTCCTCCATCTGTCTGTGTGTCGGTCTGCTGTCTGTGAGGGGCTCAGGTTCCCTCCCCCCCCCTCTGAGCGGCCTGCACAGGGTTGGACGTGCCCCGGTCACACGCCCTCCTCTCGCTCTGGAGCTTGGAGCCGCAGCGACACACGGCTTCCCACACTTCTGAATGCAGGCTGCTCAGCTGCACACACAATGGAAGTGTGTCTGCTCCACAAAGCCTGGGGACGGTTCTCAGGCAGAAAGTCACTTCACACACAAACCATCTGCTTTAGCTCTAACTCACTGTGGAGACACACACAGTCAGAAAATATACATTTCAAACATTATTACAGATTTGAGATATATTTTTAAAGAGTGATTTAGTTATATGGTATTCTGGTTTATTGTATTTACAGAGGTTAATAGACGTTTTCTTCAAATAACATCCACTTCACAGATCAGCCATCTGCTTTAAATGTAACTCACTACACAGAGAGATTTGGAAAATATAATTGTATAACATTTTTGCAGCTATTAGGTTCTTTTTAAAGAATGTGTTATTATGGTACTGTGGTTATTTAACGTTTTATTTGCTGATGTAATTAGACACATTTGTTCAGTAACATTTATATTAACAGATAATATTTAATGATCTTTCAATGAAAGAGGGGAAATTCATCCTTCATATATCTTTTTTCATCGCCTTATAGTATTTGCTGATGCAATTGAGACATTATTGTTTAGTATAACTGAAAAAGGGTACATCCTGAAAAAAATTACTTCCCAGACTGGATTGGTTTTAGTAATTTCAAATTATAATCAGTTTCAAAATTCAAAATTGTTGCCGTGTATACCTCAGGAAAAACATTTTCCCACTGACCTCTCTGATGTATGGCATTAAGATAAAGCATCCCACCTGTTCTGTGTGACAGGCATTAAATTCACTCTATTGTCATGAACCCTGAGCCTCCTGATTGGCTGAAAGAGCCCAAAGAGCGCAGGATGAACAGCATAAATGCAGAGCAGCAGACGCAGATGTCATCAGAAACTTCCTCCGAACCTTCTCAAGCAACAACAGACCTTCTCAACACACGAAGCAAAACCTGGAAATGGCTCTCTACGCAGACCTCGCTTTTCAAGACAGCGTAAAGGAACAGCTCTTTAGGTAAGCCAAAGCTCCAATACATCAAACTCTCCATAACAAATATGTTGTTTAATTTCTGTATATGTTTTTATTTCAATAAGTTCATTTGACTAAACTCCATGATTTTGTCTCTCTCAGGTGTAAACTCAACATGCTGGAGAGGAAATGCAGCACCGGAGTGGAGAAGCTGAAGGCTCTGATTGCAGAGCACCTGCAGAACGGCATCCCTGTCGCAGACATCCTGGAGAAGACCAAGTCCCTGCTCACACTGAGGAAAGCCCTGCTCACACACAACGGCTACTCCAAATATTCAAGGGATATTTTACGTCTGTTTCCTGAAGAAGAGGATGACCTGACTCCACTGTGCTTTTAAAGACAATGAGAAATGGACTTGAGAAAATCACCAAAGCTGCCTTTAAATAATGTTGATTTGTGAACGCCAGCTGCATCTGATCATTTTAGAGAAATGCCTTATGTGCTTTATGATGAGCAGAACAGAGTATACTATTATTTTATTGTTGCTTCAACAGAAGCCAGAGGAAGAAAGAAAGACAATTGGATTCAGAGGTGAAGAGGTCACTGAGGGAGAAGACGAGTCCGTAGCTAACTTGTTAAAACATGTTTTGCTGCTATTGTGGAATTTATTATTCTCGTGGTTGTAGTTTTTTTGTTTAACAAGACCACAGATTATGATTCCAGTCTTTAACTAAGAATGATTTAGTTAAGACCAAAATGTTTTAAAGGATTTAACTTAATCTTCAGATATATTGTTTAACTGCAGTAAAATCTGCTTAACATTTTAAGCCCAACTGAGCGATATTAACCTATTCTTCCTGTGAAAATGACATACAGGCTAATATTGTGTTATTGCAGTTTGCTTACAGTGTCTTACTGCCTTGTTTCAAGGTATATTGTATCGAACACCAGCCTTTCTTCTGAAAAGGGATTTGTTATTGCTTTGTGTATGCCATGTATGCAGGTTTTGTTTTATTCATTATTATTTGTATTCATCCAAAGTGGATTGAAATGTGTTTTGTTGCTTTTGCAGACTTCAGAATAATAAATATGTAAGAAATTCAATAATTTTCTTGTTATCTTGTTTCAATGCATTTGGAAATACATCGTTTACACTGTTCATGGTCAGAGCTTAAACAGAATAGTCATATTTTGTCATTTTATCTTTCATAATTCAATCTCTTAAGTGGATCGCGCGCTTTTTAAACACAAGAAGCAATTGAGTGCTTCATGACAGGCCATCTGTTAACTGTCACCCCACTAGTGGTGAAATGATTCTAAGTACGCAAATACTTTACTCCAGTGCAATTTTTAGGTACTGTACTTGCAATTAAATTCCCTATTATCATTTTCTGCTTCCCTGCCGTTACATTTCTGAGTAAACATTTGACTTTTCCCAAACAGAATTATTTTTGCAAATCCAGATTTATTACACACTATATAATCAACAAATAAATCATGAAGTACTAAGTTTAGTGAAGTTACCTGCAATATATTGTAGTAGTACCAGAAGTGGAAGAAGTACACAGACTATTTTCTTATAGGAGTAGCAATACTACAGTGTAAAAATACACAGATACAAGTAAAAGTCCTGCATTCAAAATTGTACCTAAGTAAACAAGTTATAAAAGTATTAGCAACCAAAAAAGTTTTAAACACCAAAAGTAAAAGTACTCGTTATGCAAAACAGCCCATTTAAGCACCATATATTTTAAAGTATAATATTATAATGATTGATGCATTCATGGGTTTGTCGCTTTAATATTGCCCCATGCATTAATCTTATCTGGAATTTGATGTACCAGAATGTATCAATGGTACTATGACTACTTTACATCAGGCATAAGCAAACGATTGAAGTAATTCTTCATCAAACAACCACCACACAAGTACAGGCAGGTTTTACATTAAAGGGCCTGGACAAAAGAGCTCAGATGTTTGCATAAAGAACAATGACAGTTCAGAGTGTGAATAAAATGTATATAATAATCATATACTATGAGCTTTGTATTCACCACATCCCAGTCCGGTGTATAATCAAAGGCAGCCTTATGTGTTAGACAGTTTCCCACTGATATCCTTGAACAGGGAGGTGTTCATCCCACCAGTGAAGTTACATAGACATGGTATAACATATACTGAAACTGTTTGTAAAGTTACAACAGCTCACTGAGACACATTATGTTGATCTGAGACCTAACAGCTGATATATTGAGTAAGCAGCTCTCACTGTCTACATTATCTGGCTCATCTTTAAGATGTGGATTAGAGTTTAAGAAAGACAAACCTACCTCTGATCAGGTGAGGAGCGCTTCAAAAATGTGACTGAGACATGATGTGTTGTTCATCTGTCAGCTTTCTATACAAGCCCTTTTTCAAAATACATTATAAATATATAGTGGTTTAAGATCTGGTACTATTTCTTCAGTAATCAACATGTCTGGTGATAAAAATGAGAGAAACAGTGTTTTCATTGTTTTAGTGATTGTTTTATTGCGCATCACTTGGTTTAAAGAGATACATTCAGACATTCCAAACATGCCCTTCATAGAAGGTATGTGTGCTGTAACTCACAGAGTTATAAAGCAGCACATTTGTTTAATGAACACACAAAATTGATCTGATAAAATGCAGACAATTAAAATGTTAACAGATTTTAGAAAGGTCATTTCAATAATCAGAGTATGTGAATATCACATATAAGTCAGAAACATGTGCAACATGATTAACCGTCTCCTTAATGGAGAAAAAGTACAGACATACGTCAGTGTAACTGACAATTAGAAGCATTCCCTTTAGGAACAATCATTTTTACTTCACAGAGTAACACCTGAAATAAGAGACTACCTTCAAAATAGAAAATAGTAGCTGTCCTGCAAATATCACAGAAACAGAATGTGACCTTTGCAAAAGGTAATAATAAATTGCAGAAACACGCAAAAACTCTTCAAAAGTAGAGTACCTGAGGACAGAGGCGAAGTAGAAAGTCCAAGAGTACAAGTGTATTTGCTCGGTTCAATCATAAGCGTCACTTTTGTACAAGTTCTTAGGGGTCTACCACGGCCTCCAGACAGAGGAGTCGCTGGCTGGATTCTTCTTTTTTATGCAGCTGGAGCTCAGCAGAGAGAAGTCAGCCTCTCTCAGGTTCTTATCAGAGGAACACTGCATCTTGTTGACGTGGGTCAGCAGTCTTCTCTGGGACTGAGTCTTCCCCTGCTCTTTGGACAGGAAGTGTGTCACCTCTTGGACACACCTGGAGTAGCCCTGGTTGACAGCTGCTGAGTCCACAGCTTGATTCTGCTGCTGAAGTCGTCTCAGGACACAAACTGTCATCTCCAGGATGTCTGCTTTCTCCAGCTTGGAGTCTGGCTGCTGTTTGAGGAACTCTGGACCCAGGAGAGACTTGATCTGCTCAATGCTGCTGTTGATTCGCTCTCTGCGTAACTTCTCCACCAGAGGCTTTCTGAGCTGCAGAAAGAAGAAAAAAGTCATTAATAATCTTATGGAGTTTAGGTTTGGCATGAACAAAGACAACATCTGAATGACAATAATGAAATCTTCTTGAATCTTGAATTTACCTTGTGGGTCAGAGTGTGAGGCTCCTGAGAGTTGGTCATTGCTGCAGTGATTGTAGGTGCCATGTCTGGATCTCTGTGCTGTAGAGGTCTCTGTCGAGAGAATCTGATCTCTGCTGGCTTCATCCCTCCTATTTATAGTCCCACATCTCCATATGAATGTGTGGGTCTGGGTCTCACTGCACTTTCTCACAGTCTCAGCCAATCAGAGAGCTCAGAGAGACAATGAGAGATGCCGCACGCTGAATGGTTTTATTGCCCGGGGGACAAAGGTTAGATCCCAGGGGAACAGGTGGAGGACTGGGGGGGTGATGGAGAGAGACTCACAGAGCTCTGTGTGAATCTGGGAAAGTGGTGACCCTGTAGAGAGCAGATCTGCTGCCTGATGCTGGGATCAATGACTTTGACTGAGCACACGCTCATCATTAAGATAATGAAATCATGTTACATTCTTGTGAAACTGAACATGCATACATTTGTGTATGTACAAATGTATCTAATGGAACATTATCCAATGCAAAAGCACTTGCTTACTTGGTTTATTTTCCATCAAGCCGGTCTGTTTATGTTGCCTAATCTGCAAATGCAGTCATAAACATTAATAAATTAATACTATCCTGGATGCAATGGAACTTTTTAAATAGTTCAAATCAAGCCAATTTTTTATTCCTGTCCAGATAAAAAACATGATCATATTTGACATACAATTTGGTTGCAGGATTTCACAAACAAGTTTAACTTCAAATTCCTAACCAGCACTTGATCAATTCAGGAATAGACCCCCTATTTATCCCCCCGTCATAATAAACAGCCTGGAATGTAGAGGAAAAAATTGAATCCAAAAGAGGGGGGGGGGAAATAGCTTTTGAATGTTCATTAATCCTTAGTATGTCTGCATTCCTGATAGACATTTTACAAAAGCCTGGTAATGACGAGTCTTGATGACAGGAATTTCCATTCAGAAGCACTGAGACGCTGCTCGTAAACTGACTCCATAATTAATGTGATGTGCAACCAGACACACTTCCTTTGTTCTTCAAAGCCGTGAATGGACGGAGTGTGGGAAAGCAGGGAAAACTCACTCACAGAGCCCCAGAGGGACAAAAGAGGCAGATCAGACAAAGACGTCTGCGAGGGGGGGCAGGCATTCTTTACTGAACCTTATTTACTCACTAAACCTTACTATTTCATGTTTTATATGTATCTGTTTGTAAAATTTGAAATGAGCCACTGTGAGAATTAAATCTAGAAAAAAATGGATTCAAATATTTTTTATTGTCCTACAGTATTATGGTATCCATCTTTAAAATCTATTTAACATTTTCAAAACATGTTTTATGGGGCATAGATCAGTAAATATACATTAAATAAATGAGAGAAATAACAGATATAATATACACATTCCTTTTATTGATTTGTCATATGTGTTCAATGCTACCTCTTTTAAAATGGCATAGCTCTTTCATTTGAATTCTGGAATAATGCACACATTTATTTGTTGTTGTAATTTGTCATATTTTTGTTGTACTTGTGTTTGTGTTAAACTACTACTGAACCCTATTCAGATTTTTAAATCTCAATATAGTTTTGTAAAAGATGTCTTTAAATGAGAAATTGTAACTGTTGACAAATAGTGTACATTGGTAAAAACATGAAAAACTGTTTTTTATCAGCTTACAATTACATTACAGTCTATGGATAAAAACCTCTTGTTCAATGTTTGTGTACTGCTTTTTAAAAGACATGTGGTTTGAAACTCTATTTAACCATGATATTTGCACCTCAACACTTAGTTAACTGCTTGTTAGATTACATTCCCAGTCAAAATGTTTGTGTGTATTTCTCGTGCTCTCGTCTCCTAATTGAAGAGTGTCTAAACAACAAACGTTACCCTCAGGGGAGCCGGGAGCTGCTTGTGTGGGGATGAATTAGCATTTAACAAGGCACATGTCTATTGTTGAGTGGGAGCGCTGTCAATGGACAGAGTGTGGGAAAGCCTTCAGAGCAGAGTCACAGTTCAGTGTGATTAGCATCCTGGACCCCACCAGCACCTGACTGTTCTCCGAGGGGAGTTGGCACACTTTTTCCCGCCTTACTCCCTTCTGTATTTCTTTCACAGTCGGTCTCTTTTCTGTTCTAAACTCTATAACTTTGCCAACTTCGTTTCCCCTCTGATTATCAGGTCATTATATCAATGTGAACCTATTTATTTATTACATTCACACATGCCAAACTACCAGCAATGTCACCTTTACAAGAGATATAAAGACTTCATTTTGAAACACTATATAACTTTCTCTAAATTCAATGTGATTTAAGAAACTTAAAGTAAGTTGACTAATTTTAACAAACAACGGGGAAGATATTTTTGTTGGACTTTGTTATTGAACAATTAAAAAGATGAATGGCCATTTCTTCAGTCAATTACCTGAAACCAACATTCCTTTCAAATCCCTATTCACGTTTTGAGACGTTTAAGCTCAACCGCTGTCTTTGTGTTCCTCCAGCTGGGTTTTGCCCGCCAAATTCTGCCTTTTGCAGCAACAAAGGGCCACTAGCCGCCAGTGAGGCATTCAAGCTGCTTTTGTACTGCAGTTATCACAGTCTGTGGGAAACCCTGCCTGACTCCTCACTCACTGGAGCAACTTGTCACAAGACAGAAGGCACATCTGTTTCATCTGGACCACTTTCAGCTGAATTACTTTACTGCTTTACTGAGTGATGATCAACACAACATATGAGCTTGTATGAACTAGTACCAATCAGGATTTCTTGCAAGATGGTGTTTAAAACTTGTGGGACCTGTTATATCTTATCTTAGATATCTTAACTTTAACATGAAAGACCATTTTCAAGATCATGTTTTCAGGACTTTTTCAAATATATTTACATCATCAATTTATCAGGGTCTGGTTCTTGAATTAAAAGCGAAAATGCGACAATATTTAAAAGTCTCAAGTTGTTTTTCAATGTTCAGGACAATCTCTGAGTCAGTCTTCCACATGTGTGACATGATGATGAGCGTGTTTAGTGTGACCACAACTGCAAGATGAATTATTTTATGCAATGGACAGTGTTCAAAACATCTGCTTAATATAAAAAACACAAATATATGCATGTTCAGTTTTAGAAACATAGTAAGAAGATTTCATTATCCTACAACGTGTGTGATGAGATGATGAGCGTGTGCTCAGTCAAAGTCATTGATCCCAGCATCAGGCAGCAGATCTGCTCTCTACAGGGTCACCACTTTCCCAGATTCACACAGAGCTCGGTGAGTCTCTCTCCATCACCCCCCAGTCCTCCACCTGTTCCCCTGGGATCTAACCATTGTCCCCCGGGCAATAACAGCATTAAGTGTGCTGCATCTCTTATTGTCTCTCTGAGCTCTCTGATTGGCTGAGACTGTGAGAAAGTGCAGTCAGACCCAGACCCACACATTCATATGGAGATGTGGGACTATAAATAGGAGGGATGAAGCCAGCAGAGATCAGATTCTCTCTACAGAGACCTCTACAGCACAGAGATCCAGACATGGCACCTACAATCACTGCAGCAATGACCAACTCTCAGGAGCCTCACACTCTGACCCACAAGGTACATTCAAGATTCAAGAAGATTTCAATATTGTCATTCAGATGTTGTCTTTGTTCATGCCAAACCTAAACTCCATAAGATTATTAATGACTTTTTTCTTCTTTCTGCAGCTCAGAAAGCCTCTGGTGGAGAAGTTACGCAGAGAGCGAATCAACAGCAGCATTGAGCAGATCAAGTCTCTCCTGGGTCCAGAGTTCCTCAAACAGCAGCCAGACTCCAAGCTGGAGAAAGCAGACATCCTGGAGATGACAGTTTGTGTCCTGAGACGACTTCAGCAGCAGAATCAAGCTGTGGACTCAGCAGCTGTCAACCAGGGCTACTCCAGGTGTGTCCAAGAGGTGACACACTTCCTGTCCAAAGAGCAGGGGAAGACTCAGTCCCAGAGAAGACTGCTGAACCACGTCAACAAGATGCAGTGTTCCTCTGATAAGAACCTGAGAGAGGCTGACTTCTCTCTGCTGAGCTCCACAGTCCAGACTAGCATCACCAAAGAGAAGAGTCCATACAACAGCGCCCCCTGGAGGCCGTGGTAGACCCCTACAGACTGGAGTTACTACCAGACAAACTGAGATGACCATATTGGTCAAAAGTTATTAACATACATATTATTCTGAAAAGTAAAGAAGATGCTTGTGAATTTTTTTTATTTTGCTTACTTGTAGGAAAAAAGGCCGTATTGTGGAGCACAACTTTGTATTCTATGAATATCATAAATTCACTTTTATTTTATAAATGTGATCAAATATTTTGTGAGAATTATCACACCTGCCTTTATGTCCTATATGTCTTTTGGATCAAAATTGATTCAGTGACATGACTAGGCAAATATCTGCTACTTTCTGGTAGCCTTCTTTTTTATGTGCTTGATTTACTCTGTAAAAGATGATTGACTCATGTTGGGTCTTGAAGTTTTTCTGTTCTGCCATCATCATGCTCTGTTGTGTCAACAGTAACAATCTGAAAGTTATTTTCTCTCTTTGTAAGAGAGTTGATCTGCTCTGTTTAGCTTGTACTAAACGATTCCCTCTGGACTGAGGCTGTTAACTCTACTCTATTTGAGTACATTGTCTTGAATTACAAGTGTTCATTGTGATGCATCATCACCACCAGTGCCTCTATGATGTTACTCGTTCATTTTTGTGTGAATAAAAAACATCAACTGAATCCTGATCTGTCCTTTCATCCTTTAAACTGACAAAATGAACAGTGAATAACCTTATCTTAATGCAACAACAATGCAGGGATGACAATATTGATTCAGTTTACTGTACTGGATTACATGAGTTTGTATTGATTGATAGTCAGAGGTGGGAAGTAACTAAGTAGATTGACTCAGGTACTGCACTTACTGTAATTACAATGTTGAGTTACTTGGACTTTACTTGGGTATTTCCATTTTATGCTACTTTCTACTTCTATTCTACTACAATTCAGAGGCAAATTGTGTACTTTTACTTTTTACTACATTTATTTAATATCTTTAATTACTTTACAGATTTTGATTAATGATGTGAAATATAATCAAGTCTTAAATCAGACTTTAGTTCCACCTGGAGTAAATTCACAAGCTGCCCTGCAGTATACAAAGTCATTCAAACTAGCTGCACCTTTACCAGCTTGATAACACTTTAATGCATCAATATTTATATTCCGAACGTATAATATATACTATTCTGAAATGGACCAATTTGGATAATGTGTACTTTTACTTTTGATACTTAAAGTATATTTTGATGCTAATACTGTTGTACTTTTACTTACAACATTTTGAATGCAGGACTTTTACTTGTAACATATGTTCCTACACTCTGGTACTTCTACTTTTACTCAAGTACAAGATCTGAGTACTTCTCCCACCTCTGTTGATAGTGTAGAGAAAAATGTGTTTTTCTATTATGGCAGGGTACTACCCTCTAGTGGTAAAATGATATACGTGCACTTGAACACATGGATAGCTACATTATTTAATTTAGCTGCACAATACAATTAATACCTTTACATAGTCCCATTTAATAGCTTTAAGGTTAGTAACACATCTTATTCCATCTCCCTGTATCCAATATCAAACATCTGATCCCTGACTTTTGGCCTGACATATTCATTATTTCTGTGAACCTTGGAAACTCCAGTGGAATTTAAAAATTAGGTTCTGTAGGTTAAAACAAAGTGTGACTGTACAGTTTGAAATTGTAATGCTTAATAAACCAAAACCACTCAACTATAGAAATACAGTATTACTGTAGTTGAGTACAGTTAGCCCTGTTTCAGAAGGCAAAACCTAAATATATATGTGTTGTGTTCTCTATATACTATTGTTTTCAAATCAGCCGCTGACTCCTCCTGCATCATTTGCATGCATCAAAAGTTATATGGGTCACCAACTAATGTTATATCATGTAAAATGTCCAATATTACAAACTATTTTTTAAATATCCTGCACTAATTCCAGTACCCACATTATTGCAGTTTTCTACTCCTTTTAACAGGTTTGCATGGAACTATTAATAGTACTATTTTCCTTAGATAAAAGGAGTGAAAATACATGATAAAAACATCTGTATATAGACTATTCTGCACTGTTTCTATTATATTCTGTTTCTTTTATATTCTATTTTATTTTTATTTACTTGTACTATTTTATCTGGGTTATTGTGTTGCACTGTTGGAGGAGCCTGTGACCTAATATTTTCACACTGTAGCTATGTACACATGACAATAAAAGCCTTAAAAGTGAAACCTTGATCTAATTTTAAAATTGTTTACTGTGTGCATGGTGGTCGAGAAATGTTTACACAACTCACAAGCCTCACAATGTACGTGGATGTTGATTGGATAACGGGGTACGCGCACGTTTACACGCCGCGCACGTAGACCCAAATCATTGCCCACCATGGCGGAATTTGTACGAGTTGACAGCAGCACAAGTAGCCATACCATGGATAAAAGCATAACTCTTCCTCCAGACGAAATATTCCGTAATTTGGAGAACGCAAAGCGATTCGCGATAGACATAGGTAGGTGGGAATATAAGAGTTTTCTCTATTTCTTCCGCCCCTTTTGTGCAAATGTGGCTAATTTCCAGCTATGCCGCAGCCTGATTCTATGACAACACATGACTTTAACTGAAAGTAAATAAGCTAACGTTAGCCACATAAATTCCTTAATAATTTCACCTAGTGACAGCAAGTATGTTAGCTTTGAAGATGGAAGTCTCATGAGGCTTAAAGATGGTCTTATCTGATAAACGGACGTGTGCAAAAGACACCAGACTAACTTTTTAAGTACAACAGAAATAATGTTAGCTGCTAGCTAACTTGTCTGAGGGTTGTTGTCCTCTATGTCTAGCTGTTGTCTCTTGTCTACCTTCTACTGTATAATGTATTTCTTATCGGACTTTATTCATGCATTTCTGTTGAACAGGTGGGTCTCTCACAAAGCTTGCCTACTACTCCACTGTGCAACACAAGGTGGCCAAAGTACGATCTTTCGACCACACTTCAAAGGTTAGTTTCCTTCATCTAACAAAACTGCATGGTGGCTTACATTTTTCATGCCAAAATACGTCCTCCAACAGATAACATATGCTCTCTAAAAAAACTAGATCGCAGAGGCCATTACAATAACAAGACATCTCCAAGTTTTCACCCTTCCTCCTTTTGTTTCTGCATCATCTGTGTCCACAGGAGGCCACCAATGACAATCTGTATGAAATATCCGTGCAGGAAGAGGTCACTGCACGCCTGCACTTCATCAAGTTTGAAAATGCCTACATTGAAACATGTTTGGACTTCATCAAAGACCACCTGGTCAACACGGACACCAAAGTTATCAAAGCCACAGGTGGAGGCGCGCACAAGTTTAAAGAACTCATTGAGAGGAAACTTGGACTCAAGTGAGTATACAGATGCAACAGAAACTGTTGTTGCTCAACTGTATCAAATCAAATCAGGTTTTATTTATATAGCACATTTTAAAAACGATTTTTGGTCGAGCCAAAGTGCTGTACATGCAAATAAAAAACACATTACTGCGATCGCAAACAGAAGACAATAAATTACAACAGCAAATATAAAAATCAAACACAGGGAAATGTCATGAGTCGTACTCAGCTCTGACTAGAAGGCCAGGGAGAAGAAGTGAGTCTTTAGTGTTGATTTAGAAACCCCTAGGGTCTGGGCCGACCTCACATGGAGGGGCAGAGTGTTCCAGAGCCTAGGGCCAGCTGCTGCGAAGGCTCGGTGACCTCGGGTTTTTAGCCTGGTCTTGGGCACTACCAGCAGCCGACCTTAAAGGTCTGGCTGGGGTGTAGCGATGGAGGAGTTCTGCTATATATTTAGTGCTTTAAAAACAAATAAAAGGAGTTTAAAATCAATTCGGAACCGAATTGGAAGCCAGTACAATGAGGCCAGAATTGGGGTGATGTGGTGACGCTTTTTGTGGCCAGTGAGAAGATGCGCAGCTGCATTCTGCACTAGCTGCAGGCGTCTAATTGACGCCTGGTCCATACCCACGTATAGAGCGTTGCAATAATCCAGCCTCGTGGTTACAAAGGCGTTAATAACCCTTTCTAGGTCTTTAAAAGATAAAAACGACTTGGTCTTGGCCAATAGTCGTATTTTAAAAAAAAGCAGGTTTTGACTACGGTGCTGACCTGCTTATCAAATTTAAAAGCGCTATTGAAGGTCACTCCAAGGTTCATGACAGAGGGGAGGATGTTTTTATTGAGGGAGCCCAGAATATCAACCGGAGAGGCTGGAGGTTGGGGTCCAAAAAAGAAGACCTCGGTCTTGCTCTCGTTGAGGTTGAGGAAATGTTGGCTCAGCCAGGATTTGATCTCTGTCAAGCAGTCCATCAATAGCTGTAATGAGTTGACATTAGAATTGAGAGGCAGATAGATCTGTACATCATTGGCGTAACAATGGAAGGGGATGTTGTGTTTTGTGAGAATTGAACCTAGGGGCAGTATGTACAGTAGAAAAAGGATGGGGCCCAGAATAGAGCCTTGGGGAACCCCCACAGGTAAGACTGTAGACATATCGTGTACAAAGAAAAACAGAAAGGGAGGCAAATATCCTGCACATTTCAGTGATTGACGTTGGAATGAACTCTGCCCTTGCTGTAACTGATTCACACACAAAGCAATACCCTGTCCTCTGCCTGTGAAGCAGATGTCACACTATATTGTTCAGAAGACCTTATGAATACTTTTCTAGAGAATGTATTTTCTTTACTGACACTTAAGCTAGGGCAGCCAGTTTGTTTGCTAACCATCATTGTGTGATGTCAACAGAACATTCACATGATAGTTGACTTGCATTGTTTGCATATCTAGGTAATAATATGCAAAACATAAACATATATGCAAAGAAAAAACATCTGATGTTTGTATATTGCACTTAAAAAGACTGGAGATACCACCAGACTTCATGGTTGATTGCATTTATTGCATTTAAGTTGCTTTGATGAAACCCTCAGCTAAATGACATTTAATGTAAAAAATATATATGTTTTCCACTTTCCAGTTCAATGTTACTCAAGTAAATCACCTCAGAGAAAATCTATCGAATTAGATCTACAAATGTGCTTATGAAGCCACATCACACATGGCTGCAGATATAATGGACTCTTGATGTGCTGTGTTGATGCAGAGTGGACAAAGAGGACGAGATGACGTGCCTCATCAAGG